AGGTCGCACTTAGAGGCTTAAGCTCTTTTGAGAACTGAAAGCTGTTGATGAGTGAGTCAGTATGAGATTTAGTTTAGTTATGATATAATTGCCCAATATATCAATATCGGTTTTCTTAAAGATTAATAAATACACCTTGCTGGCCTGACTGCGGGTTATAGTAAAAAAAAAAAAAAAAAAAAGTTAATAATAAGAAAACTCAAATTTTTTTAATAATTAAAGGATTAATTAAAAGAGTTAAAAGTTTTATTAAAAAATAATGAATTATTTAATTAAGTAATTTTATAATTTTTATAATAATTTTATAAAACATATTAAAAATTATTAGCTTTTAAATATTTATTAAATTTTAATACAAATTTTATATAAAATTTTTTTAAATTTACTATATATTTATATAAATTTTTTATTATAGTATTAATATATATATCAAATTTATAAATTTTTATTTGTTAAAATACTATGATATTTTATACTGTATATTATAATCAAATTTTTTTATGTTCCATCCAAAACTGGAAAAAACCAGTTTTAACTTGGCTTTTAAGATCCAGACCGAAATCCGATTTTTGGCATCTCAATTATGCATTTAATATTAAAAGTTTTTTTTATGACAGTTGCTGCATAAAAAGACACATTCTGTTGTATGTAAAACAGACATCGCGAAACGATTCCCTATTAGATGCAGACGCATATCGATAATTGTTTTATTCATACACGAAATCATATAAACAATAATAAGCATATACCTAATAATAGATCTTTTGATTGCTTAAAATGTAAATTGGTCGGAGTAGTCGTCAAGGGATAACTTGATTTCTCGTTGGAGGGTCAAATTAAATCTTCACATTGTTTATCATGCTGTATCGCACGAGGCAGAAATTTTGGGTATTAACTAATCAATGTTGAAAATTTATTATATGCGTATGCGACATCGAATAAAAAAGTACGTACGTACAACCCCTCATAATAAAGATCAATAATATCACATTTAAATTAATTAAAATGATTTGTTTTTTGCTGTATTACAAAAATGTGGGCGTACAGTATATAAACATCAGTTACCTGAAAAGAAGACATCACAGCCACTTAGTCAAATCTCCTCTCATTAAAGACTCAAACCCTAATCGGTTCAAAAAAAAAAAGAATCATTCACACTCTTTTACTTTATTTGTCTTAGGTTTTTGAATAAAAGCCACTCCTTTATCAAATCACGAAACCTCCTCTTTCATATACATCTTATCCAAAATGCCACCCGTAACTGTCGATGAGCAGAAATTCACTGGCCATCTCGGTCACTTGAGCCCTCAACAAGCTGAAGCCCTGGAAAGGTTCCGCCAAGAAATCAAGGACGAGGGTATTTTCGACGAAAGGCGTCACGACGATGCCTGTCTGCTACGTTTTCTGCGTGCTAGAAAGTTTGACATCAATAAATCGAAAAAAATGTTTTTTGATTGTGAGAATTGGAGAAAGGAGTTTGGTGTCGACGAACTGGTTAAAACTTTTGAATACAAGGAACGAGATGAAGTTATGAAACACTACCCTAGATATTATCACAAGACGGACAAAGAAGGACGTCCTATATACATCGAAGAAATTGGCAGAGTTGATGTCAAAGCTTTGTACCAAATCACCACTCTTGAACGTCAGATCCAAAACTTAGTTGTCGAGTACGAAAGGCTTGCAGATATTCGACTTCCAGCTTGCTCGGAAAAATATGGTAGACTCACTGAAACCTCATGTACCATCCTGGATCTTAAAGGCGTGTCTCTACGTTCTTTCACGAATGTATTCGGTTTCGTCAAACAAGCATCCGCCATTGGACAGAACTATTATCCCGAACGCATGGGAAAATTTTATATTATTAATGCGCCTATGCTTTTTTCTTCCGTGTGGGGTTTGGTAAAACCCTTGTTGGATGAAGTAACAGCCTCCAAGATCACGATTCTAGGCTCCAAGTATCAGGCAACATTGTTGGAAAATATTCCTGTTGAAAACCTACCCGCTTCCTTTGGCGGTACTTGCAATTGCGAAGGAGGTTGCCAACTGAGCGACGACGGTCCATGGCGAGAGGAACATTTGCTCAACGGTAATGCCAAAGCTATCGAGTAAAAAGGCGTTACTTGATTTTTTTCGGGAGGTTTCGGTTTTTCTTTTCTTTTTTTTTTTTTTAGACAACAATTCGAAAGAATTCTTGATTAATTAACATTAGATGGATTTTTTGTCACATTATACGTTGCAAATTAAAGGTAATCATCATTTTGGTGACGACATCCACCTTTGCGGACTTTTTTTTTCCTCTTTTTACACATCACATTATTTTGCCTGACTCTTTCAAGTATTCACATTTTTGTATATATCCAAGAAGATCAAAGCTTAATATTTCTGTAGCTAATTTTATTGTATAATTTTGTTATGTCGACAGAAAAAGTAGGCTACATTAATCTTTGGATTTATTATCTACATGGAAAATTTCGTCTTTCATTGAATTAATAGAATTAGCGGTTGCAAAAATGTAGAGCATTATGTTAAAAGTTATAGCATTCACATGAGTAGAAAGGGGTATTACAAAGGACACAAACAAAATAAACTGAGGTTATATAATTAAATTCAGTGGTTCATTAAATGTTCTAAAGCTTACATTACCAAATTCGTTGCACAATTGCAATCCTGTGTCGATCATTTCTAACCTAAATTTCATTAGAGCAATTTGTTCACAGGGGAGCTAGTAAAGTCATTTTACCAAGAATGACATCAAAAAAAGCACCAATTGTATATCACCCAAGTTATAACATTGCATTTTGGAATCTCGAAAAGGTTAACTTGATAGAAAAAAACAAAGTAAAGGTTCTTTTTGCAACTTTCTAAATCTTGTTATATAATAGATCCACCCATTTGACACGCAGAAGTATAAACGTATTCATCGAATTCTGGTTGCGTCAGGCCTTTTTAATGTAAATTCCTTTTACGAACCTTCACCGCCAACCCCACTCGACCTAGCAAAATTGCACTCCAATCAATACCTGGATTCGTTGAATGATAATGCACAACTTCAGAAAATATTGGAAGTGCCTTTCATCGCCGTTTTACCGCAAGCACTGTTGAAAAAAAAAGTTTTAGAACCCATGTTGCTACAAACTGGAGGAAGTGTGCTTGCAGCGGAGTTGGCGCTGGACTATGGTTGGGGTATTAATTTAGGAGGTGAGCTGAATGCGAATATTTAAAATTCCGATTTAATGTTCTCATACGGTTCGTCATTCACCCATTAATTTCATATCAGGAGGTTTCCATCACGCACATTACGACGGTGGGGGCGGTTTTTGCGTGTATGCGGACATCACCTTAATTGTTAATAAGATACTGAGTCAACATTCGGATAAAGTGTCAAGGGTGATGATCATAGATTTGGACGCCCACCAAGTATGCTAGTTGATGATAATATGTTAAATCATGTATCCTTCTTTTTCGATGCTTTCTTACATTGACCAATTTAAGGGAAATGGGTATGAACGTGATCTAGCTCATAATGACAAAGTCTACATCGTCGATGCATTCAACGACCACATTTATCCACAAGATGGCTATGCCCTTTCGTCTGTTGCCGCGCCTATCCGATTAACGACTTCCGAACTCAGAACAGATGAAAAATATCTTCAATCGATTCAATCCAACATATTTCAATCTTTTAGCAGATTCCACCCACAGTTTATCGTATATAATGCTGGAACAGATTGCTTAGAAGGTGATCCCTTAGGATCTATGAACCTCTCTACAGACGCGATCTTAAAAAGAGATGAGCTTGTATTTAGAACGGCGATAGAACATGGCGTACCCATCGTCATGGTTCTAAGCGGTGGATATCAGAAAAAGAATGCTGAAATAATTGCTACGAGTATTTTGAATCTAGTCAACAAGTTTGGACTCCTAAAAGAAGCCACATCATCAGAATTATCCACCTGAAACTTGCGACAGAGAAGATCGAACTTTTTCTAGAATTATGTTATTTTTTTTTTTTCAATTCCCAAGTACTGACTTTAACATTATTGGTTAATTATTTTTGAAGGCGACCAAGATACTGAATATTATTTTTTCGGCCCCAGTTTTGAATAATGCATATATAATGCAACTTTTATAAGGACCAAAAAACCCCTGTCCGCCTTCGAAAATAATTACCCAATATCTTAACGTTGCATAATTGTTTAATCTAGGATCATACACATACTTAGAGATTTATTTCTTATTATAAATGGCATGGAGGTGTTTTTCGTGCATCACTCATGCGATATCCTTACGGCACTTGTGCGTCATACGTGCAGGTCAGTTTGCATTATATTCGAGTGAAATTTCTGGATCATGAGGAACTCTTGTATAAATGTAAAACGTGACTTAACCACTAGTCAAAGTCACGAAAATCGCGAAATCATCAAAATCGCCGTGAACTGTATTAATGTCTCGTGAAACCGATATAATATAAGTTAGGATAACGCATACATAAATAGAAAATATTCTTTGATAAATTTTCAAAATTTTTTTTTTTTTTTTTTTTTATTGTGTATTTACAATGTTATACAATTTCAAAGATTTTCACATGACAGCTCACCCGTCTTAGAAGTTTAACTTCTCTAGATGCAATTTAGGAGATAATATTTTGCTCTCTTAATAACTTGGATTATCCTTTAGCTATCAAGTTCATTACTTATAGGTCATCACTGTAAAATAAATTTTCAAAATTTTATTGTTTACATTTATTTATTATTATTATTAACCCTTTGTCAGATTAGTTATACAGTATATGCTTTATTAAACATTTGTAAATTGTGCATAATTTATGTATCACTTTAATTTACTTGTTTTAATTGAAAACTTTAAATATTACTTTAGAAGTGTTTTTTGTTTCATTAGTAGTTTAGATAAATACTTTTCTAACTACTAACATCACTATTTATAGGTCTTTACTGCAAATCACTTTTTCAAATTTTGATAAAGGTCAGAACTCAGACACTTTATCTTATTTTTTTTTTTTTTTTTTTTAACCCGCTGTCAGGCTAGTTATGTGCGCTTTATTAAACAAAAGTAAACTATACA